TAGCGGTACCCAAATTTCTATATCAAGATGCTATAACGTTATAATTTTAAAATACATTATTTTGTGAAAGTTTGCAATTTTTATTGGCTAATGTACTGTACGTGATGTTACACGAACCGATGTACGCAATTATTTCCTTTTTCTATTTAGATATTAATTAGGAAAGCCCAGTGTCAGATGGCCATATGGTGGTACAGATTTAGAATGATCTGATTTCAAGTTCTTGAGGTCAATAACAACAAATGTTGGTAATAACTGAAGAAGTTCTTATTTCTATTGTACTAAAAAGTGAACGAACATTGATATTTTAATTATAATGCATTATTCGAATGCTCCAAATAGTGTTTTAAAAGTAATGATATACGCATTCATCTCGAATGGAAGTCATCAAAGATATTATGATGAAGCTAACAATGCCGCATAAAAATGGGGAGGCTGCATTTACATCATTAATCCTTTTTTTTTTAATTATCCTTCATAAAATTCCTTTTATGTATTTGGATTAACCCTTTTTTTATACATGTAACATGTATTTACGTTTGATATTTGCCATTTTATTTAAAACACTTACTTACCTAATAAAAATTCACGCGTCGTTAACTAAGTAGTCAAAACCAATTTTCATTAGATAATATTAGATTATTCAATTCTCCTTTTACAGAGTGGCTCAATCCACACTAATGCGTAATGCTTAAAAAAGTATAGCAGTTTTTCGCCTAAAAAGCATGAATGGTCTGTAGTCCGATTTAGTTTCATAATTAGGAAAAAAGAATTTTTCTATAGCAATAATGTTAATGGCTCAATTAATAAGCTTGAAAAGAAAAAAAAACAATCAGGCCACTCTTTCAATTATCCAAAGTTAAGTGGCTTTTTTTAAGTTTTTTTTTTTTTAAAAAAAAAATCTTGATCGTTAACGGTAATATGTTCTTAAAAAGTATGCTTGATGCTTATATAAAGTATCTTTCTTTTCTAACATTTTTTTTTCTCATTATCCTTTATTCTCCTTACTTTTTTGAACGGCACAGAATAATTTATGATTCAATAACGACGACACATTAATAACAGATAACAGATAACTTATCATGAATTACGAACCTCTGTCATATTCAATTTTATCGAATGTAAACGGCATCGAGTTACGTTTCACTCGATGCAATTACGACCAATTTTTTATAAGTTTCAGAAACAATCACGTAATTTTTACGATCCCTACGGACAGAAACATCCTAAATAACGGCAGGAAGGCTCCACAAACCTGTTTCATCTTGTTTCGTAATGTTGTACAGGATTCCGTCACTGCTCTTAATCTCAAGATCGAAAGACAAGATTTATCTAAACATGCAAGCAGTTTGTGGAATCAACTAAAGTCTATGGACTTACAACTGATAGATGAGTTTAAACGGGTGGCCAATCTTGCCGCGCGAAATTTTTATTCTGAGATAAGAATAATAAACGTAAATATAAACCCTGTTGCCGTTCATAAGCAGGTCATCAACACGAATACTGATGACAATGAAGGCCTTCAAAAACTCTTAAAAGACCTTTTCGCCGAAGCACTTCCTCCTTCCCATTTACATGAATAATTTTTACATGAATGATATTTGTCGAAAAAAAAACATAAAATTTTTTTCGGCATTTTTTTAAATTGACTTAAGACTAGTTAGCCGGCTTAAATTCTATTAAATATGTATTATACTGGAACTCAAAACTATTTCTATATGTATTATATGTATTATATGTATTATGCATACGTATCAAAATTTTTATATAATATATTATTATATATACAGCTGTTATATAAAATATTAGTGTATTTATATGTTAAAATTTTTACAAATAAAAAAAGTGCACTTATTCTTTCTTCATAATTAATAATCCAAAAATATATATAAGAACTTAAAACACTTAAATATATTATTGATGCAAATATATTATCTTCACTTAGCGCAACAATATAAAAAGATATGCCATGCCAAACCTGGTTTTAATAAATTTAAACTAAATGTCTAGTATTACTAATTTAATAAATGTTGCCAATTAGGCTAATATAACGAAAATTGATTTTTATAAGTGAAAATTTTTCAATGTAGTTAACCAATAGGATTTATTCATTTGCAAATAACCAAGTCAACCGAAGTCATGATTTGATTGTATATGATATATGTACGTACGCACTAAAACACTACAGTATTTACGCAATGCACACCTGAGTCGTGTCTTGGTTAAGCATGTTGCAGATTGTTGATTGTCAATTAACATGACGCTTACTTTGCTACATATCTATATTCAATATTGAATTTTTTCAAATATATCCTAGCAAGAACATATTCTAACAATAAAAATAAATATTTATGTTTTGAATTCTATAAACTTACCGGGTTACTGTTAATGCATCTATTTAAATTTTTATTTTTTTTTCAATAATTATTAAGTTTTATCGCTAAAAAATTTCGACCTTTTTTTTGTTAATAAGAATTTTCTGTTTTCATTAATCAATGCTATATTAATATAAATTAATTAACCGGTTCTCAACCTGGAATATAATAATAAATTGTTGCAAACTTTCACAAAATAATGTATTTTAAAATTATAACGTTATAGCATCTTGATATAGAAATTTGGGTACCGCTA